GCTAGAATGCATGAAGAACTCGCTAAATGCACAATGGATTTGGATATGTTCTCTTCCCCAATGGGGTCCTCAGGATAGGCGATACTAGTGATTAGATGCCCTATCGGATATGTCATGCTCACGGACTTGATGGCACTCTTGCTTTCACTATGTCATTTCTGATCCTCCGATGCCCAATGTGAGGACCCTCTTCTCTTTACTTTGTGTTTCTATTATTAACGTGGACTGTTGTTAGGGGAATCGCTATTTGACATTCATTTTTTGTGAACGAGCTTAATAGTAATTCTTCATTCTTCCTATTTTCCACTTCTTGACTTTGTTTAAACGCCCCACTGTGTTAGCCCGATTGGTACACACACGCCATTGTTAATGGACGCTCATCTCTGTGTCATCTTCCGCAGTGTCATTTGCAAGAACACATTTCGTTGGTTTTTCTCCGCATCAACTTTCTACTTGCTTATATTAAAGGAATAGTTAGTTGTCACACAATTATTGTACTAGTTTTTAATATTTGGGTCTGCACTTCTTATTCTCGTTTGTTTTGTGACATTTGTTTAAACGCTACCTTTCGTTATTCTCATTGGTCAGTGCCCGTCACTGTAAATGGTTGTTTGCTTTACGCTTGTGGTCCATATGGACATATGTGGACATATGCGATTCGCCCTTGAGTACCCGCCCGTTGTATTTGACGTTTTCCTTCTCTTGGTTGGCTCAAGTATGATTTAGTAGCTTCCCTTCATTTTGCCTTCAAAACTATATAAGCGAATGTGATTTCATGTATACAAGTCCCTTTCCGGCTCGTCTGTGGACTTTTCTTGCGGTCGTGGAGTGAAGGCGTCATTGGCGACACAACAACTGTGAACGATGCACCATTTAAACTTCAAAGGAAGTGTTGTCACATTGAGTACTATTACCGCTGTTATCATTCAGTGTGTTCGCATTTCTATACTGCTGAGCACCACACTAATTTCAGCACAGACCTATCTGTCACTATCTTATTCGAATAATGGAACTACGCGCTGAATCCGTATAAATGCTTGTCACTCTTGCAGCTTAGAGAACATGTGCTGTCTAAGAGATAGCATCTGCGTGGGGCGCTGAATAGATCGAAGCACGAGGTCTCGCAAAAAGTTAATACAACACCGGGTAATGAGGCGTTTGCCGAAGGATAGATCGGTTGGTTTTAAAAATTCATTTTCTCTTATCTATTTGTATCAATAATTTTGACACCGCGGCACATGTGGATTGGTCGGAGTGGCTAACTTGAGGCTGTTAAGATCTCTGAGCTTCAGAGTGCTGTATTTTGCCCCCAATGAGCACTCCAGCACCACTTCACTGAATGCGACTGTTTTTGTGAAACCTGAGTAGCTTACTCCATCCTTCGCTCCACTTTTCGCTGCAGTATTGTAAGAGTGCTTTACAGGGTGACTGTAGGTCATGATGATGATGATGATGATGATACAATAACCCATGTTCTAAAACAGAATCGAGGGTGAACCGTGAAATAGGTGAACAACTCTGTTGCTCATTAACGCAAGTGGTTAAAGCTAGACATCCGGCTTCGAGTGAGATGTAATTTTTCGTTTGCATAGTCCATCGCAAGTGCGACTGTGCGAGACACAGAAGGCCGTATCTCATTAGCCAAAGTAGCTTCTGCGGAACATAGAATCCACTTTATTGAAAGCTAACTTCAAGTAGACTTGCCAGTTATTGACGAATAACAGCATCCAAAGGATGGTATGCACATCATGTTTTGCGAATAAACTTGGTTCACTCCGGCTTCTTGTACTGATTTCGAGTGGTGATGGCCTCAACGAGCACCGTGAAATGGCGTTTTTGCAAATCGTCCTCACTCCAAAGATTCCTTCTCACTACAGTCGAACCCGTTTTATTGCCCACCATCAGGATATCTCTGAAGTGGGCAATAATTCGGGGTGGGCAATCTACCGCTATTGCCATTTTTCCCAACACGAATATATTAGGGTTAGAACAACCCTAACTAACCCAACCACCATGAACATGGATCAACCACAATAGATCACTGCATTGAACAGTCCGACATAGCCAGAGCAGCATTCGGCATCATGGTACGGTTGCGGTACGGTTGTCCAACTTCAGGTCAGTAGCCCAATTTGGTCCAATACATGGATCCTCGATATGTGCCCATTCTATTAGTATTGGGTTGCAACAGGAAACAACCATTGAATTATTAGACAGTATATCACTTGAACTGTAACGTGCCAAGAAAGCTAAAATACATACTTTTAACTGAAGCCTACAAAAGACGTTTATTCAGAAGAGCATGACCTATAATTTAAGTTATAACATAAAGCATCTTACCTGGATAGCTATAGAAACTGGTGCTACTGTATATTTCTGTTGAGAGAACAATCCCACGTCAGTTGTATATTATTTCGTGCAGATACCCTCGTCACTTTTGCTCTGAGATAAGAAATCCTTGCCTTGCCCATAGCTTTACAGATCATTCACACAGTTATTTGCTTTTGAATGCGACACGCGCTGATTGCTGCTACTCACGGAGGCATCCGATACGTCATCCTCTGAGTCGCTGCCTTCTTTCTGTTCTAGTCGGTTCTCTAAAATTTTACTGACGATTTCATCATCAACAGTTCCCAGATCTGAGGTACATTCCATATCGTTGTCAATGGCGACGAACACTATTGCATTCACGACTGGGATTGTGCAAACGCTGATCTCGTCTTCAGCGATGTCGGCGTCATCAGAAAGTGCATCGGGTTCTAGTCGACTGAAGCCAGCATGCCGAAAGTATGCTTCTATTATTGCACTGGTAACCTGTCTCTAACTGTTTGAAAGGAGCTAAATTGCATCCAGCACAGAAATCTTGGCGTTGACATCCATCGCCGATGATAACACGTTGTTTTCGATGTGATAAGGAATTCGGTCCACAATTTCCTTTCTGTAACAGGTTCCCAGGTTCATAATCACACTTTGGTCCATGGGTTGAAGTATCCCGGCCGTGTATGCCTGCAAAAATTCTATTTGAATGTCTTCCTACCTGTGGATGCGCAGTGCAGTTTACCAAGAGCAACATAACTTTTCAACCACATTGGCCTAGCTCCTTGTCCCATTCGAGGACCCATTCGGTGAAAATTTTTTTCAACATCCACGCATTTTTTCTTAGGTTTGTAAGTTACGGAAAGTGTCCACGTTCACGCCATTAGACCATCGTGGTTTCCTACTTTTTAGATTTTTACTATATTTCTTTAATCCATGTCAGACATATTCGCACAGCACAGAAATGTGATCCTATCCATGGCTTTCTCGATCTGCTGGGCTTGTCGACAGTAAAACGCAAAGTGCATTCTGGAATTGTTCGGTAGAAAAGACCTGTTTCCTCTGCATTGTTATCATATAAAACACTTAAAAGTTCAAGCAGTCGATCTTTCAGGCAATTTTCACAGACTGCTCTGTCCGTGGTACTATTTTCGCCATGTGCACGTTTATACACAATTTCAGTTCTATTCTTCCATCTTCGCAACCGTCCTTCTGTGACAGCACAGGTTTTTTCAAGTCCTTCCCCGAATTCTTCTGCCTTTTTCTTCAGAAGCGGGCCTGTAACCGTTTGGTTGTGCTCACGAACCGATATCATTCAGTCTTTCGCTGCGGTTTCTTCTTCGTCCTTTCCACATCGCTTCATTTTCTGGGAGCTTACAGTGCCATGCGACAAATTCTACCGGAGTTCCTTGCAATCAACCTGGCTAGGGTAGAACGAGAAATGTGTATATCACGCGATATCTTGACCTGCGAGGTTACTGGTGGATATGTTTTAATTTGTCCAAACCGTCCAACTTTTCGGTCAAGGATAAATCCTTTCTGTTATTTGGCATACTTGTGTCTAACCAATAGAGTAGTGGCAAATGTGGAGCGGAAAGTTTACCCGACTTTGCTCAGTTCTCTAGTTCTGAATAAAGCGGAGGGTTTTCCCACAGCCGTCTATGCATTTAGCTTGCTCGTGTATTGAATGACATGGCTAACCTTTTCTGATCTGTCAATAACACCACTGGCATCTTTGTTGCTCTTGACTCGATCGGACTGCCTAACTATGGGGCAATCTTAATAAAAAAGTTACAGGATATAAAATTTTCAAGGTGACAAGAGTACAGCCCACGTAGCTGGGCCATTAAATGGTGGGAGGACCTTGGTAATTGGCAATTAGATGGTGAACATTTAGCCTATTTATGAGTAAACAATTTGTTTTTGAAAAACTGCGCACTAAAGCGGGATGGGCTATAAACCGGGTGGACAATAAAGCGGGTTTTATTGTGTATGACTTATACGGGATACCGATGGACACGGTTCGTTAAGATAAATCCCAGTGTTTCTGCTTCCTTAGCAGACCATGTACTGTATGTTGTACTGGAGTCCCTTTTTCAGGAAACTTTACTTTCTTGCACACACTGTTCCGTTTCCACACTGGTACGCCACATTCTCCATTCTGTCTCACGTAACCCTATGTCTAGTGGCACATCGTCAATGTAAGATTCGTGACTAATTTGCTTTGGTTGAGTTATTGGGCTTTTAGTCACAATGGAAGCGCTTCCATCTGGTGTGGTCAAGTTAACATTTGTTATGCGCATCTTATGTTTTCTGGAGATTTAGTCAGACAGCCATCACCTTCGTCCAATGTTTGGCGGCCGTTTCATCTCATTGGGACTCGTCAGCAACGCATACCTCCTTCGGATCCTGCTAAATTCGAATCTATAATTGCTCTCACACAAGCCAGTTGCATGAGCTGTCGGTAGCAAGGGCCGATCGCCCTCATGGCTGACTTCTAGCTGCGATAAAGCGCGTTTAATCCCCAAAACGATGGCTAACATTTTCCCTGTTGTATCGTGTACCACAAATTCATTTTCAGCAATGAATCGATTCTTCTACTATTTAAGTATGTGCGCTCGAAGCGAATTTTCAATCTGGTGTCTAACTTACATTACACCGGTTCTTTTCTGCTTTTTTTGCAGTCTACTTCAACTTTCAGGGGACTTAGGTGACATAACAGAGGCCCTCAAATTAAAAGACCTGCAACAGCGCAAAAACAAATTCGGTGTGAAGATGGTTTCACGTCCGTCTTGTTCCGCTCTCATCAAGCTGGTTGAGGGTGATGTCTTTTTATCTCACGTGACCTGGTCTCCATACACTGGCATGCTACGAGTTCTGAAGCATTATAATTTTCCCTGGAAGGTCAAAGGAGGCAGTGAGTACTGCGACTTTTACAAAAGGTTAACTTTTCTTCTCATTCTCTGTTATTTTCACGCCCACTTAGAGCACGTCCACTTTTTGGGACACCGTTCAGAGAGCTGCCCCATTTTTGTAATATTTTGGGTCACTTAAATTATCTCTCACTGGACGAACATTCTTTTCACCTTGGAGGTCATCCGTTAAATGTTTGGAGGCGGTTTCCATTATTCTTTTAATCTTCGTTATTCTTTCCGTGTTGCAAATCCAGTGGCATTTGCTACGGTGCAACACGCATAGCCTGCCTCTTAGATTAAGGCGGACTAGTTTTGTAACGTTCAATTATATTTAGGCAGTAGTACTCACAAGCGATTAGCTTTTGGTGCCACGGATTCCGGTTTCCTGGCTTAGACACAGTTGAGGAAACAAGCTGACCTGATTCGTTTTGCACCTGAACACAATTAGTGTTAAAGCACTGACGATGTCATCTCGATTGGTAACAAAACGCCTGCAACAGAACTACTCAACTCGGATAACCAACCGAAGTCGGACAATTGGAGCTACTTATCATTAGGGGGATGTTACTGTTAGAGATGACCCGTCGCAGTTACTTTTCTGCCAACACTTTCCACAGATTCGGAGATGCGTTAGAAAGCTGGTTTGTCGTATTGGACTTGTATGTGGCACACCTCCCTTGGCTTCGCCGGTAACCGAGCAAATGGCCTCTCGCCACCAGCGACTTACCCTACTGAGTCATGGGTGACTGAGGCATACTTCGCCTGAATGACTTTTAAATGCTATTTTGCACATAGCTACTGTTCGGAAAGTCGTAGTTATGGAGTCAACGTTCTGTCCTTCGTAAAGTTTGTAACTTGCACCACAGTGGAGGATGAGTCGCGCTAGTTTACAGCTAGCCATCAGTTATGACGGTTTGCTGCGGTCACTCATGGCACGGCTCATAGTATCGGGGGATCCTGAGTTCGGTCCCTGGCGGGGAAGAGGGATACCAGTTAATGCGAGTCCCATTTGGCTCAAACGGTCATCTAGCGCTTCCGGTTGTATGAGAGCTGTTTGGTTGGTAACTAGTTTCGATGAAACATCTTTAACTTACAGTTGGCGTTCCGATAAAACCATCCTAGTGAATCTTTATTGCTCTTACTCACTGTACAGAACTATCAAACACACTTCTGCTTGAAATGTGACTAACTTGTGTTCTCCAAGCCATTAGGCCATAGTCTCTCATACTACGAAGAGTTAGCTAATACCTCAGAGAACGCGTCCCGTGAATAGCGCCTACTTTTTACTTTTAAAGCATTACTAATCACGTTCAGTCGATTGAAGTCATGTGCCGAGTTTACATGGTAGCACTCTATCAGCACAAAGTAGCTGTGTACTGCTTAGGCTCTTCATCCTAATTGTACTACACATTCGTTTGGCTCGCAAAAAGCTCACATCTTCGTTAATCAGGCCGCACTGCGACACCAAGTCGAGTCATTGCTTTGCCTCTTCTGGTGAATAAGGCGCACTTCTTCATTCTTTACCTGTGATAGAGACGAATGGCATATCCATTCCCGCGTTCTTCTCCTCTTTTAGGTTCAGATACAATCCCGGGACATTCTATAACCTTCTCATCGTACCCAAGTGTCATATCCTCAGTGGATGACTTCTACATCACAAGTGCAAAATTGGTGAGCACCGTTTGATTAATGTCCATCATACCACCCCGATACCCGCCATTCGTACATGTAACTCGCATGCGGACACAATGGATTTGGTAGATTTGAAACTCAACAGCTGACCCCTATGAATTGGTGCAATATCCACCATTTGATTTTACTGCGACTTCTCACCCCTATTCGCCGGTTAAATTGACGCTTTTCTAGTGAGTGTTTGAGTATAGGAACTTTCCTTGCGTAACCACTGGGCCATTCAAAGACGTACTAGTGAGTGCCAGACCAACATAGTGTACGAGCACACGGACCCAAGTGGTCGTGCTGATGCGCATAATCACTGGATCAACGATGACGACTTAGTATGCATCCATTTGATGCTGTTTGTTGTTTCAACCATGTTCGCAACCACATATCCAGTGCTAATGTTGGTGTCGCATACACCGTGATTCTTCGTCTCAGTTGTGGCTACATAGATTTAACCTCGAGATCCTTTTGATAACGTGTTGATTTCACCTCACCTAGGAGCCGTCTTGTTTCCCGCCGAATGTTGCAGTTGTAACTTCGAGACTCTACATCATACAGCATTTAGCGGTTTGTTAGTCACCGTTTAATTAGGCACCACAGGCTGATTTTTGGCCTAGCCGTCCCCACCAGTGACTTGACGTGGAAGCTAACAGGTATAGGCACACACGATGTGACAGTATTCTCGTCAGTAGGGTCTATTGGGCCATAGAGATCATAAACGGCGACGATTATTTTGTTTTGCACCGATCCATTCACCCGTTCCCTCGTGTTTCGGGTCTCTCACCTCTGCATATATTTCGTGAAACTCTCGTTAACAAAAGTGGAGAACCAACACCAAACCAGGTCACGCATTACCTCTGCGTAAACCGTTTACCCTTGTTAGAATCTACTGACACCCATGCAACACGGGTTTGTGCTTGACTGTTCATGCTTTCCCGACCTTCTGGTGAGAGCCATGAATGGTTGCAGGCAGTAAATCAGGGGGTCTGTCGACATAATTTACATCGAATTCGGTAAAACGTTCGACAAAGTAAACCGTGAACCCCTCCACAAGCTGAGAATATACGGTGTTGGTGCATCGCTGCACCAGTGGATCCAGAACTTTCTCGTTGGGCGAAAGTGAGGGTACAGGTCGGCGACCATCCAACTGTCTGGTATCCCTCTATTAGTGAAGTACCCCAAGGCACGGTGCTACGGCCCACTTTGTTCCTAATCCACATCAACGATCTACCTCAGCTTCTTCGGTCGCTGTGTGCCCTGTTTGCGGACGACCTGAAGATTTGGAGAGAAATTACCACCCTAGACGATTGCAGCCTACTTCAGCACAACCTCAACCGTCTCTCCATGTAGTCTGCGGATGTCCGCCTCTCAGTTAACCCATCCAAACCGGTATTTATGAGCCTGGGAAAGGGTGATGATGGCTGAATTTACACCATTGACGACCAACCGCTACATCCCACACCTTCCATGAAGGACCTAGGTATAATCATGCGGTGCAATTTAAAGTCTGTTGACAACACGAACAGACTATATCGTAACGGACTGGGCATGCTTTAGGCGATCAAGCGCAGCTTCTGTACGTTGTCTGAAATGGTCGCCACTCGTCTCTTCTCTTCCATCGTATGACCAATACTTGTGTACGGCTCACCTGCCTACTGCCCAATCAACCGAGGTTGACACAGAAGATCGAACGGGTCCAACACGTCGCTGCCGGGTTCATTCCCGGTTTACGGGAGTTATTGTACGAAGACCCGTGCGAGAAACTCGGACACTACACCTTGTCCTTTCGTCGGGTGCGAGCCGATCTCATCATGATCTGCGGTATATTACATCTCGGTGACTTCCCCATGTTGCAACCGCTGCTTCATTTGCGAACGCTATGCGGACACCGGTACCAGCTGGTGGTACCGGATATAAAGCGATTATCCCACCCCTGTCCTTCGAACACAGAGTGGTAAGTGTTTGGAACAGTTTGCCCGAACAAGTCGTGGAGGCTACATCTGTACAGCAGTTCTAAACCTTGTTGGACTTAAATTTCAGTCCCATTCGATTCAGAGAACGATGGCACATTAGCACTGACATCTTGCATTTGTGCAACCTGTGAAACTGTAAGTTAGCTATTCTAAAATGCTACATAAGAACTTATCGAACGATTAGATTATCACGAAGTGCGTACACATCTTATAATATTTTTGTCTATATTGCGATGGAGTTGTACAGACTTATATTTATACTTGCTGCCACGTACAGTACTTAGTATTCAGTATGCTGAGAGATAGGCGCGTTACCAGACTTCAGTTGACCCAGTTACATAACTCTTCAGTGTATAGGCTGCTTCATCTTCCTTGGTTAAATATAGGCCACTACGAATGTTCCTCGTGCTGCCTCGCGTCGGACTGAAATTGTGTCTGGCTAGCAGCTTCTCGCGTGAGTACCCGGACAGTCGTCAAGTTAAGCGAATAAACCTGCCTGGACACTGTACCTAATTAGAAAACAGGGTGGCTATTAAAATATATCTTATGTGTGATTGTTTACATGTGTTTGAGGGGCTAACCAATCACATCTGCTTAACTTTCTACTTATGCACATCGGTAACATGACTGTGTGCAAGGTTCCTTAGTTTTACTTTCTTTTCTGCCAGGTCATACACATAATCCACTACATATGTAGGGAGATTATGTGTTTGCCGTGTGGGCTACTCTCACTCTCTCCTTGTACGCGTGCTGGTTCTGGGTTCGAAGTCTGCATTGTATTTGGCAGACCCTCTTTGAATGACTAAAATATGCCTGACACCCTCAAATCAGGTTTTGCAGCGCTCCACATAGAAAGAGAAGAAAGGCATCAGTAGTGCGCCAGTGTGACCACCACCAGTCGCGCGCGGACTATGGATACTGCGAGGTAGCCTGCACCTATGCAGATTCGAACCAAACTTCTTGCTTACAAGGGGAACATCCCATCCCTTCAGGCACGGACTGAGCGACTGCCCACACCATCAATGCCGTCGCCTCAATTACAAGCCCAGTGGGATTGCTAAACGTTGCACTGAATTACGGGGGTGCAATCTTCGTAACAGCGCTAGCTTCGAAAATTTGTGCTATCATGGAACGGCCTATGATCCTGTATGAGTCTAGCATGTACATATCCCAATAATTTACACCAACCATATACATGTACTGAGTTGTTGGCCGGTTCTGAATCAGCCACTGCTTTTATGCAAATGCAACGTTGAGGTCCACCGGTTGTTTTTTTATAAAGAAGGCTTCTGGCATCTCGCTAGTGGGCTTGTTGAATTCTGACCACTTTAGTTGGCTAGACCACGTCCTCCATATGCCCGTTTATCGATTACAAGTATGAAGACATGTTTCATGTTGATTTCGCAAATGTACCAGAAGTTACTAAAATTCGCCTGATGCCTGGGTGCGGCTGAACACGAAAAGTTTACAAATTTCATCTTGCCAAAGAAGAGCACTGACCTATCCCTGGACAAAGTTCTCAGTCCTCTCACGAATTTTTGATGAGCAGACATCCTTGTTCAACATCCGGTACAAATCATCATCATCATCAACAGCAGTACATCAGTCATTTGAACTGATGCTTCGCTGCCATACAACCATGGACCTATGAAATAAAGAATAAGAAGAGGGAGAGAAGGGGGTCTTACCTGAAAACCTTAATGCCCTAAGCAAACATTCAGGGTCAAGGCGCCTACACCTTGTGTAGACAACGCACAATCACAAACAGCTGGCTATCGTGCAAAGATAAGGCGGCATCGGCGAGACAGCTTCCTTGCGGCTTTCACTGCCCCGCGTCATAATCAGCCATTACCCCGCAGATAACTCAGCACCAAGCACACTTTAAGCAGGCAATCCGATTAGGAGACGGCAGCAGACGCGCCACTGGTGTCTATTGCGAGCCATGTCCTGTAAAGTCTCGAGCCAAGCACAAAGTGAGTCACGTGGACTCCAACCCGGAAGGCGAGACGGACCAACGGCACCCAGTTTGGTCGTCAGTGATTTCATTCCCCGCTGCCAAGTCAACTTCTGTCCACTTTGAGCCTTGCGCCATCCTACCTGGTAGACTGAACAAGGCCCTCCTAGGTAAGCGGTGACCAGGCATACGTAGCACGTGCCCGAGCCAACGCAACTTATTCAGTGCTATCTGTTGTTCTAGGGAGGTAGCATGATTATCACCTAGTACTCGCCTACGCACATCATCGTTGCGCACACGCTGGTGCCATCCGACACCAGCAATGCTTCGCAAACAACGATGATCAAAGACTTGAAGGCGCCTCAGATCTTCAGACCGAAGGGGCCAAGTTTCACTACCATAGAGCAGAATGGCCCTCACTGTGGCCTTGTATACACGGCCTTTCAGACGGAGGGAACCTCCCTTCTGTCGCCAAAGATGACGCAGATTCAAGAAGGCAGCTCTGGCCTTTGCAATGCGTGAGCTGACATCAGTTTCTATGCGCCCATCATTGCTGATGCAGCTGCCAAGATAAGTGAATTGATCAACCACCTCGAGTTTCTCGTTAGCAAGCGTCAAGGGGTTATAAAGTGGCTGGTGGTCCTGCAGCAACACTTTGCACTTTGAAGGTGCGAAGTGCATACCAAATAATGGGACCACTCTGGACAGGCTATTCAGGGTAGATTGTGCCGCCCTAACATTGTCGAAAAGCAAGACGATATCGTCCGCATAATCTAGATCAACTAACCTTTCACCAGGCAGCACTTCAACGCCTACATCGTGAGATTCCGCAAGGGAACACTCCATGATAGAATCCACGACGCAATTGAACAAAAACGGGGAAATCGGACAACCCTGACGAACGCCACTTGTAGTCGAAAAGCTATCCGATAGGACACCGTAGACCCTGACGCGGCCTGTAGTGTTCGAGTATAGAGCACGAAGGATGTTCACATATTTCGTGGGAACACCTTTCCGCGCAAGTAATTCGAACAGAATCGATCGATCGACTGAATCGAACGCAC